CAATTTTCTAAATACTTTCATTAGTCCCTAGCCTTATCTTATAGTTAGGATAGCCTTATGCCTATCCCACGCATGCTTAAACTCCTTTACTGTGTTAACCTCTACCACTTCAGCTGGAAGGCTATTCCATGCATCCACTACCCTCTCAGTAAAGTAATACTTCCTGATATTATTTTTAAACCTTTGTCCCTCTAATTTAAGACTATGTCCTCTTGTTGTGGTAGTTTTCTTCTTTTAAATATAGTCTCCTCCTTTACTGTGTTGATTCCCTTTATATATTTAAATGTTTCTATCATATCCCCCCTGTCTCGTCTTTCCTCCAAGCTATACATGTTAAGATCCTTTAACCTTTCCTGGTAAGTTTTATCCCGCAATCCATGAACCAGTTTAGTAGCCCTTCTCTGAACCCTCTCTAAGGTATCAATATCCTTCTGAAGATACGGTCTCCAGTACTGTGTACAATACTCCAAGTGAGGTCTCACCAGTGTTCTGTATATTGGCATGAGCACTTCCCTCTTTCTACTGCTAATACCTCTCCCTATACAACCAAGCATTCTGCTAGCATTTCCTGCTGCTCTATTACATTGTCTGCCTACCTTTAAGTCATCAGAAATAATCACCCCTAAATCCCTTTCCTCATATGTTGAGGTTAGGACTCTATCAAATATTCTGTACTCTGCCCTTGGGTTTTTACGTCCAAGATGCATTATCTTGCACTTATCCACATTAAATGTCAGTTGCCACAATTCTGACCATTTTTCTAGTTTACCTAAATCATTTGTCATTTGCCTTATCCCTCCTGGAACATCAACCCTGTTACATATCTTAGCATCATCAGCAAAAAGACATACCTTACCATCAAGACCTTCTGCAATATCACTAATAAAAATATTAAAGAGAATGGGTCCAAGTACAGATCCCTGAGGTACCCCACTGGTGACAAGTCCAAGCTTCGAATATATTCCATTAACTACAACCCTCTGTTGCCTGTCACTCAGCCACTGCCTTACCCATTCAACAATATTGGAATCCAAACTTAAAGATTGCAGTTTATTGATAAGCCTTCTATGTGCAACAGTGTCAAAAGCCTTACTGAAATCTAGGTAAGCAATGTCTACTGCACCACCCTGATCTATAATTTTAGTTACCCAATCAAAAAAATCAATAAGATTAGTTTGGCATGATCTCCCTGAAGTAAACCCATGTTGTCTCTGATCTTGAAATCCATGTGTTTTTAGATGTTCATCAATCCTATCCTTTAACATGGTTTCCATCACTTTCCCCACTACTGAAGTAAGGCTTACTGGCCTATAGTTGCCCGACTCCTCCCTATTACCTTTCTTGTAAATGGGCACAACATTCGCTAACTTCCAATCTTCTGGGACTACTCCTGTTAACAATGATTGGTTAAATAAATCTGTTAATGGTTTTGCTAGTACACCACTAAGCTCTTTTAATAGCTTTGGGTGTATTCCATCAGGTCCCATTGACTTATTTGTCTTTACTTTTGACAGTTGAAATAGAACCTCTTCCTCTGTAAACTCACGTGTAATAAATGACTCATTTATCCTTTTTCTCAACTGAGGTCCCTTTCCTTCATTTTCTTCTGTAAATACAGAACAAAAATATTCATTGAGGCAGTCAGCCTGACCTTTATCCTCTTCTACATACCTTCCTTCTTTTGTTTTTAATCTAACTAATCCTTGTTTTACTTTTCTTTTCTCATTTATGTATCTAAAAAATTTTTTATCCCCCTTTTTTACTGACTGTGCTATTTTCTCTTCTGTGTGTGATTTGGAAGCTCTTACAACTTGCTTAGCCTCTTTCTGCCTAATCTTAGAGATCATTTTGTCTCCCTCACTCTGTTTTTTTTTATAATTCCTAAATGCTAACTTTTTGTTTTTAACTATTTTGGCCACATCTGCGGAGTACCACAGTGGTTTGAATTTTTTGCTTTTACTGACAAGCCTAATGCAATTTTCTGTTGCCTTCAATAGTGCAACTTTTAAATAATCCCATTTTCTTGGACTCCATTTAAATTGCTCCAGTCTGATAATGACTCCTCTACCCATATTCTAATTTTAGAAAAGTCTGTTTTTCTAAAGTCTAAAACTTTTGTTTTTGTGTGGTGTGACTCAGTCACTGTTCTTATATTAAACCACACTGACTGATGATCACTGGATCCTAAACTTTCACCTACAGTAACATCTGATACCAAATCTCCATTTGTTAACACTAAATCTAGTATGGCCTCTTTACGAGTTGGCTCCTCAACAACTTGTTTTAGAGACAATCCCAGTAGGGAGTTTAGAATATGTGTGCTCCTGGCACAAGTAGCTAATTTTGTTTTCCAATTTACATCAGGAACATTAAAGTCACCCATGATGATAACTTCCCCCTTCATTCTCATTTTAGCTATTTCCTCAACTAGTAGATTATCTAACTCTTCAATTTGTCCAGGGGGCCTATAAATCACACCTACACGAGTTACTGTGTGATTACCAAATTCTAACGTAACCCAAATGGACTCTATGTTTGCCTCACTAACTTTTATTAGGCTAGATTTTATGCTATCCTTCACATACAAGGCCACCCCTCCCCTTTCTTGCCTTCCCTATCTTTCCTATATAAAGAGTACCCTGGTATTGCTATGTCCCAGTCATTTTTCTCATTGTACCATGTCTCAGTAACAGCGACTAAATCTACACTATCAGTTGCCATTATTGCCACAAGTTCATGGATCTTATTCCCTAAACTGCGAGCATTTGTAGACATGACTCTAAGCTTATCATTTTTTAACACACTTGCTACAGGCACCTTCTGTCCTTGTTTTGGGGACAATTGGATTGATGTTTTATCACCCTTTTGCCCCCCCCTCCTAGTTTAAATACATCCTAGCAAAACCTCTGAACTGCTCACTGAGAACATTTGTTCCCTTTTGAGAAAGATGCAAACCATCTTTTTTGTACAGCTTATCTCCATTCCAAACAGAGCTACCATGAGAAATAAAGCCAAATCCTTGCTCCCGACACCATTCACCAAAACCACAAATTAAAGTCCCTAATACGCATCCGCCTGTCGTTCTGAGTGTTATGCACAGGCAGAACTTCAGAGAATGACAGTGTGGAAGCAACCTGCCGTATATCATTGGCAAAAACACTAAAAACTTCCTTAACCTCTGAAACCTCATTGCAAGCCAAGTCATTTGTCCCTAGATGGACAAGTACATCCAATTCCCCTTCCTGCTTTGCTTGCTTAACAATATTACAGATACGTCTCCTGTCTCTGTGAGCAGTAGCTCCGGGAAGACACCTCACAAGACCACCATTGTCCATCTCCACACCTCTTATAATGGAATCACCCAACAACAACTGCTTTCTATTAGGCCTCACCATAGTCTCCAAGCCGGTCTCCACAACACCACTAGCCTCAGTGCCTCTCTCCACAACACCACTAGCCTCAGTGCCTCTCTCCACAATACCACTAGCCTCAGTGCCTCTCTCCACAACACCACTAGCCTCAGTGCCTGCCTCTCCACAACACCATTACACTCTGAAAGTGCAGAAAATTAATTATGAAGAGCAACAGACTGTGCAAAATGCCTTTTATCCACAACTCTAAGTCTACCAGATCCTACAGTAATCCATCTGCCTTTCCTAGCATGTCTCTGCGGCAGTGGCTTTGCAGCAGTTCCAGTCTGAGTTTCTTCACCAGATAATTTACAAATCTCAGACTTCAAAAATACAATCTCCTGCCGCAAGATAGAGAACTGTCTACAGATTAGACAACAACCAAACCTCCAAAAAGTGGAACGTGAAACAAATGCATAGCAATTGTTACACTGAACTAAGTCTGCCATTCCAATTATGAGAATAATTTAAATCTAACAAATCTTAACTTTTTTCTTTATCCTCCTGAATACCTCAGATTACCTCCAGGTTATCTCCAGAATATCTCCAACTACACACTTAGAAACAGCACTCTCCAGAATATCTCCAACTACACACTTAGAAACAGCACTCTCCAGAATATCTCCAACTACACACTTAGAAACAGCACTCTCCAGAATATCTCCAACCACACACTTAGAAACAGCACTCTCCAGAATATCTCCAACTACACACTTAGAAACAGCACTTAGAAGTAGCACCAAGCTATATTAGACAAGCTAATGGAACCAGGCCTTATATAACTCCTAAAATCACCGCCCACTAGGAATGTTTAACACCTGGGTAGGCCTCTGCTTATTTGCAAACAATAGCTAATTAACCAGCAATCAACAGCAAGTAACTAGCTTAATCAAATCAAATGCCTTATAATTACCAACAGGAATTCAAACCTTGGGCAATCAGTAACCTTTTCCTACAGATGAATCTTACCTGTAACAGTAGAAAAGAAAGCTCTTAGCACAACTCTTAGACAGTTGAAGCTTCTGTAAAACTCTCCAGAATATCTCCAACTACACACTTAGAAACAGCACTTAGAAGTAGCACCAAGCTATATTAGACAAGCTAATGAGAACCAGGCCTTATATAACTCCTTAAATCACCGCCCACTAGGAATGTTTAACACCTGGGTAGGCCTCTGCTTATTTGCAAACAATAGCTAATTAACCAGCAATCAACAGCAAGTAACTAGCTTAATCAAATCAAATGCCTTATAATTACCAACAGGAATTCAAACCTTGTGCAATCAGTAACCTTTTCCTACAGATGAATCTTACCTGTAACAGTAGAAAAGAAAGCTCTTAGCACAACTCTTAGACAGTTGAAGCTTCTGTAAAACTCTCCAGAATATCTCCAACTACACACTTAGAAACAGCACTTAGAAGTAGCACCAAGCTATATGCTCTCTCACTGACTACAGCCATATTGTTTCCCAAAGTTTTGGCGGAACACCAATTGGGAAACAATGATTTAGTATATGCACCTGCCTAAGATGAAATGTGTTGAATTTGTGAGAACCTTGTGATATCTTTGTGCCGTAACTGAGATATACAGGGAGTGCAGAATTATTAGGCAAATGAGTATTTTGACCACATCATCCTCTTTATGCATGTTGTCTTACTCCAAGCTGTATAGGCTCGAAAGCCTACTACCAATTAAGCATATTAGGTGATGTGCATCTCTGTAATGAGAAGGGGTGTGGTCTAATGACATCAACACCCTATATCAGTTGTGCATAATTATTAGGCAACTTCCTTTCCTTTGGCAAAATGGGTCAAAAGAAGGACTTGACAGGCTCAGAAAAGTCAAAAATAGTGAGATATCTTGCAGAGGGATGCAGCACTCTTAAAATTGCAAAGCTTCTGAAGCGTGATCATCGAACAATCAAGCGTTTCATTCAAAATAGTCAACAGGGTCGCAAGAAGCGTGTGGAAAAACCAAGGCGCAAAATAACTGCCCATGAACTGAGAAAAGTCAAGCGTGCAGCTGCCACGATGCCACTTGCCACCAGTTTGGCCATATTTCAGAGCTGCAACATCACTGGAGTGCCCAAAAGCACAAGGTGTGCAATACTCAGAGACATGGCCAAGGTAAGAAAGGCTGAAAGACGACCACCACTGAACAAGACACACAAGCTGAAACGTCAAGACTGGGCCAAGAAATATCTCAAGACTGATTTTTCTAAGGTTTTATGGACTGATGAAATGAGAGTGAGTCTTGATGGGCCAGATGGATGGGCCCGTGGCTGGATTGGTAAAGGGCAGAGAGCTCCAGTCCGACTCAGACGCCAGCAAGGTGGAGGTGGAGTACTGGTTTGGGCTGGTATCATCAAAGATGAGCTTGTGGGGCCTTTTCGGGTTGAGGATGGAGTCAAGTTCAACTCCCAGTCCTACTGCCAGTTCCTGGAAGACACCTTCTTCAAGCAGTGGTACAGGAAGAAGTCTGCATCCTTCAAGAAAAACATGATTTTCATGCAGGACAATGCTCCATCACACGCGTCCAAGTACTCCACAGCGTGGCTGGCAAGAAAGGGTATAAAAGAAGAAAATCTAATGACATGGCCACCTTGTTCACCTGATCTGAACCCCATTGAGAACCTGTGGTCCATCATCAAATGTGAGATTTACAAGGAGGGAAAACAGTACACCTCTCTGAACAGTGTCTGGGAGGCTGTGGTTGCTGCTGCACGCAATGTTGATGGTGAACAGATCAAAACACTGACAGAATCCATGGATGGCAGGCTTTTGAGTGTCCTTGCAAAGAAAGGTGGCTATATTGGTCACTGATTTGTTTTTGTTTTGTTTTTGAATGTCAGAAATGTATATTTGTGAATGTTGAGATGTTATATTTGTTTCACTGGTAATAATAAATAATTGAAATGGGTATATATTTGTTTTTTGTTAAGTTGCCTAATAATTATGCACAGTAATAGTCACCTGCACACACAGATATCCCCTAACATAGCTATAACTAAAAACAAACTAAAAACTACTTCCAAAAATATTCAGCTTTGATATTAATGAGTTTTTTGGGTTCATCGAGAACATGGTTGTTGATCAATAATAAAATTAATCCTCAAAAATACAACTTGCCTAATAATTCTGCACTCCCTGTACTTTATTGAAATAATAAATATGGCCTTTCTTTAATATTTTTGGATAAACATTTTTAAATGATTTAATAGTTTGAGAAATATTTTAAAATTTTGGTATCTTTTGACATTTTGGTATATATTTTTATGTATGAGATATTTTTTGACATCTTAATATTTTGAAAAACAATCTTTTTAAAGCTGTGTCTAAAAATATTCAATTATTTGAAAAGCTGATGCAAAACTATTAAATTAGGGCCAATATTCAGAGACCCAGGGTTAATTACTAACTGGACATGTAAAAAGTTGACTGGGCAATTGCACATTTTACACCTAAACAGACTGTTGTCAAATTAGTTTTTGAAGCCTTTGGAGTTTGAACATTTTTTTTTTAATGTTAACCTAAAATTTGCTATTCACAGTTCAGTGAATAGCGCCGTTAATAGAATGTAAGAATTTTTGTAAACTGAGAAGGCTTAATGTCGTTTGTTTAAAAGCTTCTACTGAATATTTCATAGATCCTAGCTTGTGGTTTGAAACCTGATATAGCAAATTACAAAATATTGTGTTTTTTTTCTTCTCTTTTTTTGCCTCTGTGTAATTAAAGAAAATGTTGCCGAACACCACATTAGTTATTCATGTAATGAGTATTTTTGCACCCATTGATTCCTCAGTGGAATGTCATTCTTATAATCCTGTAAGTAAATAAAAGGTTTTAAACCTCAAATTTTATTTTAACAGTTTAATACATATTTTACTTGCCTAGACTATAAAAAAAAAAATGACCCTGCCAAAAATTAAATAAAAAAATGTTCACTTAAAGGAACACTATAGTGACAGACATACAAACATGTATTCCTGTCACTGTAGTTATGAAAACACATTTTAGTTTCCTGGCTCCCTGTCAGCTAGGTAAAAAGGTGTTTTACTCACCTTTATTCCAAACTTGATGATCTCAGCCAAACGAATGCTTTTCGGGGGGCGTGGCCACGCGACGAACCAGGACGGACGTGTAAGCCACGAGCTCCTGCACACGAGGCTCCACACAGCGAATATACCAGTGGTATAAGTTAAAGACACGAGCTTCCCGGGGTGTCCGAGGACCATGGCACACCGTGCTACTAAAAAACCTAAACAAAAGCCGGCAGACCTGCTAATATCGGCACTTACCTCGCCGCGACAAAAAATCCAAGATGGCGCCGATAACCCGTCCTCGCCGGCGTCCTGCTCGGATGGCAGTGACAACACATCTATTTCCACACATGCCTCTGCACCAGCCACAGATTCCTCTATACATAGAATGCTGGAAGAACTCAAAAGCTCCATGCACATGGAATTCACAAACTAATGCTTTTCCATAGGAAAGCATAGGGAGCCTGTTGCGCATGTGTGCATGCTGTGCCAATTAGCATCTCCTCATAGAGATTTATTAAATTAATGTATCTCTATGAGGAACGTTTAGCACCTCCATACAGAGCGCAGAGATGCTGAACGTCAGTATTGCACATTGTGCAACACTGATCCAGGAAGCAGCTCTAATGGCCATTTGAGTGACTGCCACTAGAGGTGTTAAAAGGCAGCAATGGAAACACTGTTTTTGCCTGACATGGCAGTGTTTACATTACAAAACCTGAAGGCACAGGCTGCAGTCACCAGAACAACTGTAGCTGTAGTTGTTTTGGTGACTATAGCGCCCCTTTAATTTCTGTATAAACCCAGTTATCTCAGTGTGGGTGAATTGCCACTAACCCGTAGGTGCCACCAAATTGATGCAGACTTCTTGTATTGATTTTGCAGTGTAGAAGAGATAGAGGTCATTTAGCATATGCAATTAATTGTATAAATATATATAAGAACTTGGTAAATTATATTTGCAGACGTAAGATAATCTGGTGACCAGGGTGCATATGGTCAGATAGGTTTTGCTAATCCCCACCAAACCTAGTTATCTGAAAAAGTAGAGACACCAAAGGTCAAGAAATGTCATATGAAAAATAGGTGAAAGGGTAATGATATACATATAACATTACAAATGATGTTGCCTACGTAGTGTGTGCTCAGCCAATCATATGTGTCCTATTGCTTGATGTAATTGACCAACTTACTGCTTGGCACACATGGTCTTTTACAATCCTATGGAGTAAAATACAATACTTCAAAAGATGTAATGACTTATCTATCTTTTCCAACATCGTTGCAACCTGTAAAAATTCCTCCTTACAAATTACAGCCTACATCTGTAAGAAAGCAAATCAATAATTGAGGCACAACAATGGGACAACCCGTGTACTGCAAAACATAGCCTTATATATATATGGATATATTTATACAATTTGCCTGAACAGCTGATTAACCCACAATGGGTCAAATCTATTATCAGCCAAAATGGAATGTTCAATTATTGTCTTCAACCCAAATATCAGCTTCGTTTATTGGCTGAATTAGTGGATATTATCGATCTGCGGAATTGTGATGATGGCTAACTCACTCACTCACTCACTCACATCAGACTTGAATGCCAGACTGAGAAGGACTAGAGCAGGATCTGAATTTGAGTGTTTCTGGCTGGCAGTGCACTAGGAATGTGTTTATACATGTGTTACATGTATGGTATTGATATACTGTTCAGCCAACTGGAACAGTATATGCAAACACTGTAAGTGAAGTCAGTAGACTAACATTGGGTGCGGTAGTAGTATTGCAGGAGAGTTGCCAGACTTGACATGAAAAACACTAAAAAGGACTGGTAATGATAGGAACCTATATATATATGTGTAAATCTGACATATTCACATGTATGTGTAAATATATATATATATATATATATAAAAAGAAAATTAGGATTAACTCACAGGTCTTTTCAGTTTTTTTTAGTTAGGTAGTTACTGTGGTTTAATAAGTGGATTTTATTACATGTTGGTGCCTGATCAACGTTTCGACACCCAATTGGGATTTTATCAAGATGACCATAATTTCAAACAATACAAATATTAATAGTTGAAAAAAAAAGAAAAAAAAATGTAAAGTCACCAATTGTGTGAAGACTGTGTATTGCATTGCACAAACCCTACAAACTGGACCTCATAGGAACGTGGTGACGTTGATACCTGCTAGGGAATAAGCATAAACATACACAAAGTGTATCCCAGAGTGATGGCAAAAACAAATGCACATGCATAGAGAGAAGAGCAAAAGTTAAAGTATATTTAAATAATCTGTTGTAAGAGCATTGTGAATATGTATAATGCACTAATGCACTTTATATAAATACACTTTAGCTTATTTAGGACTTGCTCTATTTAATGTGTCTCCCAAATTGGAATTAGTGTAGGACCTACAGATATTGGGGTACTGTGAAGTAGTGGTGGGCTTAACACAATGTGGTCATATGGTGGAGCTGAATCCCCTTTTTTGTTTGCTCAGATAGGTGATTTTGAGTAGCCTTATAAAATGCAAAAATGTATTTTTATGTGTGTGCTGTTCCTTAATCTGCAGAATGACATCTAAGCACATTTATTGTAGGTTAAAGATACATTACAGTGAGTATTATTGTCGTGTGTGGTGGGACTTACCCGATGGGCGGACAGTCCAGAACTTAATGCGGGCTGCTTTTGTTAATCATACGGATCTGATGTGTGGCCTGCTTTCATACATTAAAATGGATGCTGCCCACTCTTAGGGTGCTTCCTCAAACATACTTACTATGCGCATTGTTACTTCCAGTCCCTGATTGGTTGCGTCACCTACAAGACCTCATTTCCATACTCTTTGGGGATACAGGGATGAGGAGGACCAATCAAAAGCTATTTAACTCTATTTAAACCTTGATCGGATTGTGAGTACCTCTGTCTCCCTGACCTGGCTAGTT